TATTCCCCCAGCTCCTATTGCGCAATATATAAGCCAGTAAGTGTTCTCTGTTCACCACCCCCCACCCCCCCTGGGGTCACGGGGTAGGGGTGGGGGTGGGTGGGTGACGGGTGTCGGGGTCAAGAGGCAGAAGTGACCAATCAGGTAGAACGGCCAGGAACTGTGAGGCCGGACAGGTTTGACCAGCCACGCGTCCCTCCGGCCAGTGACTGGCCCCACAGACTGACTCCACACAGGGCGGGGAGGACGTGGTGTCTGTGTACACAGGGATGTGCACGGGGAAACGCCGTATCTGCTACTTTGGACAAACTAGGAGGGTTTCGTTTTTGTTTAGTTTATGGCGTGGTCAAAACTTTGAGGTGCAACTTATCCTCAAATATCTCCTGAACGAGAGAATCAATGTCATCCATACTTCGCATAGCAGTTTGTATCAATTTGTCTTAACTAAATCATATTTTTCCAGAACTATTGGGGCAAGATTAAAAAACTTTTCTTCATAAATGTATATAAAATACTTGAAATCTCTGTCCCACGTAAAATGGTATTGTTCACAGCACTTCCCGCTTCTCACACACATTTTGATTACGCATAAATATGGCCTACGTCACAGCTCGTCAATGACAATTTTTACTTGCAAAACCTTTTAGAAGAAATTATTTTTATAGTGAACACATTTTTTGCACTAATGGCTCTCAAAACATGCTTTCAATAAGCATAATGTCCCGATTAGAAAAACGTGAGGTACTTGCTATTAAAAGTGATATTGCCCCAGCTGTAAGCATTGAAAAATGTGTAGAAACCAGCCACTTGGATTTTGTATTAGTATTTGTTAAGGAAGTTTCTGGAATACAGCTTGCGGGTGTTTACGAAAATATTGATCTGTCAAGACAAATTGATACGGTCACTGCACAAATTGAAGAACCTATGTTCGATAGTTGAGGAGATAGACCAGACCATCAATGATTTATTTATAGAGGCACCAGCCATCCATGTCAAGGTGCTGTTTTAGCCTGTAAGATATTTGACAATAAGTCGCGCCACGAATTTTTGACTGCACTATAGTAAGAGTTTTACGGTGCTCGCAACTGCATAAGGTCATATGAGCGCGCCAAACACAAGTTGTTTACATTCCCAACAGTTCACAGCACGGCTTGGCTTAGGTCAATGATCAGATTTTAAATGTTAAAAATTGGAGGTAAAATAACAATTAAAAAATGACTATTTACTTCAAATCAAAATAACTGTACATTTACGATCTACCGTAAAGGTCAATGACCTTTATAAAATCGAGGATTCTGTTGGGATCAACGACGGAAAACAGATCTTGCAAGTTTTTCGCATTTAGAATATGTTCCCTCGGGTCTCTCCGAAATCTGGACATTCAGGTGGAATGTGTCTTCTCCACATGGGTCCGAAACCTTATATAGTCAGTTGATGGTGT